AAAATGGCCACTATCCACTAAAATAATACAACCACCATCTTCTCGAAAATTTTGCTAGTGACCCCCAACTTATTTATTAAAAAATGGATAAATTCAGAGTATTTGAAATGAGTAGGCTTCTACCTTAATTATATTCGTATACATGAACAAAACAAATTAGAGTTTAGCTAAAATTTAATTGAGAAACGTTAGTTTGTTAATACTTTGTTATCTATGTGTGTCATTAGTCTGCATCTATGTGTAAACATAGTATACACAATGTATTATATAATTTTGTGACTGTTTGAGGAGACACAGTCAACTATTTCTTTATTATACTGTAGTTCATTTTGATTTTGTGAGAGACAAAACAAATTTCATGAATCAGTGACAATTTCTCTGAGGACATACATGTACAACACATGTGTCAACAACTTTCATGAAATTGATTCTCCGTAAATACAGTAAATTCATCTAATCACAAAAATTTGTGTAGTTAAAATTAAGTGGTTCACAGTATTTCTGGTTGTAAGATTTGCATTCAACTGTTTTCAATTTATGCAAATCAATTGCATGAAATTATATTGACCTTTGGGTAACATGTGCTACTGTTAAAATCTAGCGATTACATTTGATACTATGTGAGTCTTCAATCTCATGCAATTAGTCTTAATTATGCACAGTGTAGTACGTTAGAATCATCTTTAAACAGATTAAACTGTTTTTCGCTGGTATTTAATAATATTGTGATGAGATTGTGAATTATATGTTCACTTACCATCAGTGAGTTCCCCTCCATATACCAGTCCTACTGCGTCAGCTGCTTCAATGCAATGTGTCAATGAATCCAAGCGCAAATTGAAATTAATGAGTGCAGCTATAACCCCAATTTTTGCAAGTCCCAGCCACATACAAACAAACTCCGGCCTACTCTCCATGAAAATGGCCATGACTTGATCTTTTTTGTGTCCAGTGTCGTAAAAATAATTAGCGATACGGTTTGAATACTCATCAACTTCGCAAAAAGTCCATGTTCGTCCCTCGTATATAAATGCGATTTTATTTGGATGTTTTTGCACTAATTCCTTGTAGTAATCCGTCACCAGTTTGTTTTGATTCCTCATCGACCTCATTCTTAATCTTAGTTCAATGAGTGACCTCAGAGCTCTGTCAAGATAAATCAATGAGTATATAGATATTAGCAAAGTACACAGCCACATCGATCACCACTGGTCATCTGCCAAAACTCATGTACCTTTGTATGTATTTAAAACAACAATATTATGTTATTACTATTCAGTCCTTATATCATTAAACTATTTGAACTGTTTGTTTGTTTGTTTATTTGATTGTGTCAAAATGACTTATTGCCTGTAAGCCCTATTCAGCACAACAGTTTGTTTGTGATTTGTTTACTCCAGCATTTGTTGTGAATTATTGTCTATCGGCTTGAGGATAAGTATGTTTATCTAGATATGAAAATGCCATTATTTGTTTGGTATACCAAGCAGTTTAGTAATCACATCATTTATAAACAGGGAGATGAACACCAAAACTAATTCAGAGGTTCTTGACAAACAAACCCGGAATCTTAATTATTGTCACAATATATTCGTATATTGTATAATTTTCTATTCCATTGCATGGTTTAGTGCTGAATTATCTGGTATTGGTCGAGGCAAAAAATAATCATGGGCCACCCCTGTCCCCCCAAAAAACAGATTTCAAATAAATGATACATTTTAGTTTCTCATTTATTGTTTACTGTTGAGTTCTTTCTTTCATGTTTATATTTATAATGAAAATTCAAAAAAACAAATATCGGTAAATGCATTCTATGATCTCCTCTATCCCCAGGATTATGCAAATCATAAGATAATTATTAATACTGGTATATTACTAATATTTTAATATTTTTTTCTAAATATTTGTTCTACAATTCATCCGAATTTTCAAGCAATAAATTCATCTTCTTATTTTGTTTTGAATATATAAATATATTGATACATGTACCAGCAATAGAGAAATACTTCAGATACATGTATGAATTAATTTGTCTGTGTTGACTTTTTTAACATGAGTGTTATTTGGAGTGAACACTGTTTAAATACGCGTAGGTCACCATGGAGATATGGCAGTGTTACAAGGTCCTTTCTAGAACTATTGACTGCACAAAATTGAAATTGAATAAATACATTTTCGGGAAAGTATCATTCACGTGATTCGATCATTTTAAATCGTACACAATGAAATTACTTGAATTATTGCTGCTACAATTTTTTCTGTCGTAAAAATCTGTCTTCTGTCAAATTAAAGAGTTTATTGTTCACTCCAAAGAAAGCAAATATTATTAAAGTTAAAACAATATTCTGAGAGCAAACAATTATTTTTTCCAGCAAAAATATTGATTTTTTTAAGCTTATAATGCTTTTTAGTAATTTTCAAGGATTATTCTCAGAGCAGCTGAAAATAAATATACACAGGTACGTACATATAGTTACAGAAATTGTGACTTCAATAGATCACAATCAAAAATCAAAACACTAAACCACTAGAATGTACATGTATAATGTATAGGGGTTAATTATTACCTGTATTTCATTATTGCTTATTTCACTGAAAACTAAGTGAGATAATTGGTAAATTTTAAACTCATTTTAGAAGACAGAACTATGTCACAGAATGTTCTAAGTTGGTAACGAGCACAAAGCACAGTTTTTTAAAGTTTTGACCGTTGTTTTCATCGGTTGTGGTTGCCAAGCAGTGAAAATGCTCGGATGGTTGCTCCTGACTCGGAGAATTGAATATATCCCTAAGACAGTGAAATATTTCATTTTTTCCTGGTACTTTCTGAGGGTACAAATTCACTTTTAGTTTTGTATTTTAAACTGGTTACCTGAGTAGTTCAAACAAGCGTAGAGCTAAAATGAAACGTGCAACACTACCATCTATCACAGTAAAATTAGTGTATAATGTTACATTGGTTGCCAACTGAAATAAGGGATCTACCATTTAATAATAGGGTGGCTGAATGATTTGAAAACAAAATGCAATCTAGATACCTGGAAAAAAATGCGAACAAGGTGCAGGAACAATTATTGGTTATTTCAAGAAAAAGAAAAATGTACAGACCAACATCAAGAAAAAAAATTGCACAAGTGTAGACAAATATGTTTGTAGTATTTTAGCTAACTTTGTTATTTTAGATTAGTTGTGTTACTTTATGTTTCTTATATTGAACTTTACTCGAGCATTGTTATTGTGTACGTTCCAAATAAAATATCCTATCCTATCCCCTGGTCATACTCTTCCAGCCCCCCATAATTTAAAATGTTTGATCCCTAACAAATATACCAGTAGATTTATACCATGTGAAGTATATCCCACTACATTATCTGTGCTACAGGGGGTCAATGTTGGCAATACAAGTAGGGTGTTAGCTGTGGTCATAGTCCCCTGGTTGCTGGCAGTCATTTTCATTTGAGGTATACCTGACGCCGCCTCCTCCATGTGCACTTAGAAGAGAATACAACCAAGAACACGTCAGTAAAGTGGAATCAAATTAAACATCAGTTTGGGCGCGACAGAACCATATATAACGTACGCCGTTAGCCCTGCGTACATGGCTGTTGTATCGGGGTATTCAGGACTTGGCAGTGGTAACCCCATGTACACAGACTACACGATGGATTGATCTACATGATTATACAGTGTATTATTGCGGTAACAACACAGATAAGCAAAATACACCTACTTTATATCTCTAGGGAAAGTTTTGACGGCGATCACAACAAATTTCCAATTAAGGACCAAAACACTAGAAACAGCGTCAGAATTACAGTGAACCAGTTATTGCCATTGTATCGCAAAACAGTGGTGAGTCCACCAAATAACGCCGCCTTTAACACCATTTTCCAACTAGGTGTAGAATTCACGATCCGACGTAGCCCCCTTGCTGCGCTGAACACGTTAACCATATGTAGGTGTGTACCCGGTGTAATGCAGTCAACGAACTTTCACGGATCAGGCGGGGAGAGAGGTGAGACAAAAAGCATCGAACGCAGGTCACATCATGCACACATGTTTGTGGGACTGTTTCCTGACAACTGCATATAGCGCCATCTGTGGTGACATTAGGAG